CTTTTCCTCAYRTTCCTGGTATAACCTTTGTAATAGTCACCCCCCTTCTAARATTCCTGGGTCCRCCCCTGATRTGTGACATAAAGCACACTCCCAACCAATCAAAACGCAAGGTTCTATAACAATTATTTAAAAATTATAACTGCTATGGATCTCACATTTTGATTGACTGGGAGTGTGCTTCATGAGAGCACACAGGATGTGCACGCACTTAATTCTATTTTATGTGTATTAGAATATATATGAAAAAAAATTCTTGTCTTGAACGGGAGCTTTCTATTTTGTCTTTCAGATCCAAAATATCAGTTATTCTATTTGTATTTTATAAAAGAAAAAAAACTTGTGTGCTGTGCTGTTTGCTTCTCCTAATACTTCCTTCAAACAAAACCCTGTTCAAGTTATATTCTTGGGTGTTGTGGGGGGGACTTAAAACCCAGATAATGAAATTTGCTGCTGCTGCTACAAAATTCTTGATACCTTCAACTAAAGTTTTGTTTTCTCTTGTAGGAAAAAGCCCTTCAAGACCTTGAGAGTCAAGTGTGGGAATTTGATGAACAAACAGAGTTTGATTATAACTTGAATTTAGAAACAAATATTGGTGAAGAAAAGAAACCAGAGATTCGTGAGGTTCATTCTGCACCTGAACCATCAGTGCTACGGACATCAGAAGATAAAACACTCAATGAACAACCTAAATCAAAACTACATACTGAAAATCAGGGATTATCACCAAACCTGTTGAGACCAACATAAAAAAAAAAACATCTTAAGAAACTGTGTGCTACTAAAATCTTTTTTTAATCATCCATACACAGTAGGCTTTAAAGCTAGAAGCTTGTGGGGCCATGTATCCTCCACACACACTCTTTACTATATTTGAATATTCTATGCACACAACTTAACTCACATGATTTTTATAGAGAAGGGGGGGAAATTCCTGAGAAAAAAACTTGTGGTATAGGAGAGAACAACACATAAAAAAAAAAGGAAAAAAATCAGAAATTATCACCAAACTTTTTCAAAGCCAACAAAACCCACTTTAACGCAGATAGATCAGTGGGAAAAAGAATGAGGTGAAAATACGGTCAGAGAAAATATCCTTGGGGGTAACCAATCAAAACACTGTCCCGAATTTAAACGTTCTCCAATTGAATGGACACTGTACTATCATTTATCTGTACGATATTGATTATCTGTTCATTCTGAGTTTATTTTCACTTTCTGAACATCAAAAGGTTGGGTGTTACAGAAAATCCACCAACTTACGAAGAAATATTTAGAATTTTCTATAAACTTTTTCAAGACTCTATCTCTTTCTGTTTCTTACCAACTCATTTTATATTTGTATATAAAACGAGGTATTTTCATCATTGTCTGATCAGCCTTCAGCGATATAAGTGAGGTTTTCCCCCATGTTTACCCCTGAAAGCCACAAGCTATTATGGGTATGGGAAAGAAGAAAATTTGAGGCGGTGATAGTTTGCTCCATATATAACACAAACTTATGAAATGATCAAGCGAAAACATTAATTTTTTGTTTTGTTATTTACAATAAATATGCTGGGGCCATTTTTGGATAGTATTTGGCGTTGCAGAAGTCAGTGACCAAGAACTTTACCTCTCTCTAACCAACAAGCTTAGGCTGCTTATTCAGTTTTAACAAAAACTATATATATCCACAAAAGGGTAAATTTTATAAATACTATACATCTTCGGTATGGTACAAAGTTAACACTAGTTTATAGCCCCATGCCTGATTTCATATCGTGAGGGACTCGTTACGAGTCCCTGAATATCGATAATCAAGATATTGAAGAAATAGCAAACGCGTACCGTGCTGTGAAGCTATAAAGCACACGGGGATTGGCAGAACATGAGAGAAGTGTTAGGAGAAGCACGACGCGTAGCGGAGTGCTTCTCGACACTTCTCGAGTGTTATGCCATTCGCCAAGTGCTTTATAACGCCACACAGCACAGCAAGCAAGTTGTGTTTTACTAGGAATTTCTGAACTGAAAGTGCGAGCACGTGCTGTGTACTCTCATAAAGCACGCGCTCCAAACCAATCAGAACGGGAGATTTATAACAGTTATTTTACAAACCCATTCAGAAACTAAAAAGTTCAATAAGGAATGTATGGATTACTTTGTTCACCGGCAACCATGCACTTCTTAGTAATTTTTTTTGAGTCTGTGTTCTGCTGATCGCGCGAATATAAAATGTGAACACTTGTATAATAGCTATGCTTTCATTCGTTTTATTGAAATTTATTATCAAATTTAAACTTTTAAATTCTATTATTTAAATACTTAGTTTTTAATTTAAATTTCAAAATAGGGTTTACTTATCTCAATAGAACTTGTAGCCATTTTACTTTAGCTCTGTATGAGCTTTTCCTAAGTTATTTTATGAAAACTCTCTACCTCTTGACATGTCAACCAACAAGAAGGCTGAAAAACTGGCTCGGCTTGCTTAACCAAAGGAGGCAARAATTACGCCGATGAGTTTTGGTTTTGCGTTTACCCCAAAACGATCGAAAACGCATTCATTTGAAAACTCATACATACATTTGACATTTATGGTATTGGTATAAACAGGGAAAACGTTTTGATCGCTTTAGTTTGGACGGGCGAGAAAAAAAAAACGCTAAAAGAACGCTAGCGTGGGCGCGAAGAGTTTCACGAAGCGTTTCACAAAACTAAAACCGCATTTAGTGTTGGCGCGGGCTTATCTGGGACAGGGAAAAGAGATTAAATCAACCACGTGCAATTCCTTTTCCATGTCCTTGAATAAAACGACAGTTTTCATCTTATGGTTCCCCTTAAAAAAGGTTAGCGAATTAATCACCGTTGCAAACGTTTTCCATTGAGAGGAATTCAATTTTTAAAAACTATATACAGCATCTGTTTGAAAAAGTTCTACTTGAATTACAAGACAATTTTATTTTATTTTCAAAGGACAGTAATTAACAGAAACAATTTATAATAGGCCCTTTGCAGTTAACGGTC